ATTGCAGAGTTATCTTCTCTTGGGAGCAGGTATTGATTGTTACGTCATTGGTTTGTGTGAGAAAATTACGTCGTTTTCTCAAAAATTGATGACGTTACTCTCACAAACAAGTGACGTAACAATCAATACCTGCTCCCAAGAGAAGATAACTCTGCAATATGCAAAGACGGAATATGTAGGCTAGGGAATCTGGAAGGTTTCCGATAGGGTACTATTTTGATATCGATATACTGTAGGCAACAAGGTTCGTCTGTCAACCGAAGGTATCTATTTACGGAGACACAAACGAAAAGGTGGAAAGGAAAATCTAAGGATCTAACGTGATGCTATAAGGGCAGCAGATTAATTGTATTATCGCTTACAGTGTAATTACATATTTGCTATAAATGATATTTTTAAAAGAAAGGTTTATTTTCCGACAATATATATCGTCATTTTTTGTGTGATTTCACTGCAGGTAAAGGTCGACGAAAAAACCCCGCATAATGTACTTTTTATTGCCCTAAGTGTTTATCAAAGCCAGGATTTTAGAAGAATATTCGTTAACGAAATTCAGAATGAAGTATAAAACGTGAAAAGCTCGTCTGATCTTAAAACAAAAGATATAAATCTGTCAGGCGTCTATCGCGACGTGACATTCAAATATGACATATTTCCCATTTTAGCATACGAAATCATACATAATGTAAAAGCAAAATAAATATCGTTAGATCTCATTTTCCAAGCTTTTCTGATCACAGAAATCTTCAATTATGTATGAGTTGTTTAGCTCCAGAAGTTATCAATCATCCCTGACCTTCAAATTAGAAATGAGTATCTGTCCCCGAATTTCCGACCCCGATGATGACCTTTCGATGTCCCCGGAGAGGTAGGTTAAATGACATAGGGTTTGTTTGGTAAGGGTGTTGTTTTCCCTCTCGGCTGGACCTAAGTGATGAATTGTCCATCGACGAGTAGATAAGTACACTTGTACTTAGTCGAAAATGAAAATCGTAGTATCGTAAAACGTAAAAATCAATCGACTAAAAGTAAAGTGTATTATCGTTAATATTTCCATTTTAGAGCTTTGTTTTCAAACTTGACCCTTATCTTATCTAACTCCTTCATCCGTCTCTCATTCCGATGTGATACAGTTTATAATTTCTGGGCAGCAACGATGATTAAGTGTAAGATAAGCAGTTGCATGGTTCCCAGTTGGACCTTTGACCTTTTAATATTGTTATTACCATTATCTTTTCAAATACACATTTTTTAAAGGCTGCAATTATGTAAAATGCATCGACAGATGTGATTTATTAAGAATACTCTGGTAGAAAAAACAGAAGAAATCCTATTTATTTATAGAACTCCGAGGCTTATCTTTTTTGTTATATTTTTTGTTTACAATGTTACATATTCAAATCAAGTATACATACCGTTCAATAATTTAAAAGAAAGTTCTCAGAGAAAAACCCATAAAGTAAACAAAATTAAACAATGTTTCTGCCGCAATATTTTAGTTTCTTTGAGCATTCATTGGAAGTAAATAATTATTTATTTTAAAACAAAAATCCATAAAAGCGAATTTGCAACAACCCCGCTCACCCTACAAACACCCATTACCACCGTCTTTGATTATGGCACAGGGCCCCGTAATCTATTATCTCCTTACATGCTGCAGGACAGTAATACATGTAAGACAAGCCCCTGCGAGTAAGACATATATCAATATGACAGGTATTGGGAGATATGTTTACATCTGACAACGGTAATGACCCTTAATTGTCGGCCAGTCAAATACGTCTCGGTCTGACCTCACGCGCAAGTTAGATAGGATATTGTTTAACATGTTAATATCTAACTCAGTAAGTTACGTTGTTGTGTCTGTAAAATGTTTGTAGATATATTTGATGGATATAAAGACAAACTATTTATTTCATGATGACAGCTCATATATCATCCCCGACCATAAACGTCTCTTTCGGTTAATTTAATTGGTGCGAATTGATGAGGAGGAATCGGTTCGATAGGTGTCCTTGAAAAGATGTGTTGTTAATATATACCGCACATTACGATGGGTTCTAAAAATGACCGAATTATCGCTGTTGTCATATATTTCTAACAATCTTGGTGCTAGTCTACCCCGAATAATCTGGGTCCATTTTGAAACCAAATAATTTGAGCCCTTTTAAATCTTGATCCTGTTAATGAGCCTTCTAGTATTGGTCCTTGTCGAACCTTGCTAGTATTGGACCTTATTGAGTCTTTCTAATATTGGTCTTTGTTGAGCCTTACTAATATTGGACCTTGTTGAGCCTTTTAAGAATTGGTCCTTGTTGAGCCTTTTAAGCATTGGTCCTTGTTGAGCCTCTCTAGTACTGGTACTTGTTGAGCCTTTCTAATATTACGCATTGTTGAGCTTTTCTAGCATTGGTCCTTGTTGAACCTTTCTAGTACTGGTACTTGTTGAGCCTTTCTAATATTACGCATTGTTGAGCTTTTCTAGCATTGGTCCTTGCTGAATCTTTCTAGTACTGGTACTTGTTGAGCCTTTCTAGTTGGGTCTTCATACGGGTATTTATCTTGGTTCGGAGACAACGTTTACGATAGCCCCATTTTATGTTTGTGACAAGTGAGCAATGCTTGTGCTTTGGTTCAAGTTTTAAAGGTTACATCCACTAACTTTCCTAGCGTCCATGAAATGTGCCATGGCAAAATCAATGGCACGCTATCAGCTATTTTATTGATTTTAGGTAACAATAAAATAGCCAATCGCTCGGCTGAAACCTGTCCGCTTAGTGTTACAGAGGAGCGACACTCGATTTCAAAGCCGGTCAATTTTACCCTAACGCTGCCGCGCATTCCTTAGATATACATCAAAAGATAACTGATATACATCAAAAGATAACAGATTTACATCAACAGATAACTGATATACATCAAAAGATAACTGATATACATCAAAAGATAACTGATATACATCAAAAGGTAACTGATATAAATCAACAGTTAACTGATATACATCAAAAGATAACTGATATACATCAACAGATAACTGGTATACATCAAAAGGTAACTGATATACATCAAAAGGTAACTGACATACATCAACAGATAACTGATATACATCAAACGATAACTGATATACATCAAAAGATAACTGATATAAATCAAAAGATAACTGATATACATCAAAAGATAACTGATATAAATCAAAAGATAAAAAAAAAAAGTCTTCTTATATCCCCCACAAGGTGGCGCGCACCTTCGATTTCGTCATGACATTCGAATAAACAACACAGCCGTATCGATCTACGTCATTTCTTTACGCCGAATCCTTGACATTTTCCATTATAAATCCCTGACAGTTACGATTTTTCGAGATACAGTTTTAGCTAACTTTTTTTTTTTCTCTCCCTAATATCTATGTAGGGGATTTTGCTGCGTCACGAGTTCATGTTTTTCACGTTCTAAACGGACAATATCTGACAAAGTATCGAAAGTTAGAATCAAAGTAAATTGAATATTGTATATTCTTTGTTCATCCTCATTACAACAAAAAGACAATTTTGAAAACGTAGTTCTGTTAATAACCCTATGGAGAGTCGAGGAGAGGGGATCAAAGAGACCCAAAATTGATCCCCTGTCCTGTTTAATCGTTTTGGATCTATTATTTTCTCGTCTTAGTGTCTCATTAGGCATCCGTCTTCATGACCCGTATTTGTGAAAACATGTCAATGCTCAAGCGTCCTTGTCACGTGCTTAAACTTTGTAACACGGTCAAAAAAGAAAATGTAAACATTTAAAACAACACTTACATGACGTTGACAATGTATATGTATACATATTGATTGATGTGTCGCCGGTAAAATAAGTACGGGCCTACTTTTAATTGACCTTTGTAGTTGCGAGAACGTTAAACCACAAACAAAAGAATAGACTCTTAATAAAAAACATAGTGCATCTTCCTTGAAATGGTATCCCTCCGCGACCACTCATAAAAGTTCATCTGAATTACACTGTTTTTCAAGTGGAAATTCTACATATAAACCTACCTCCGGATTTCTTTCCAGACAAGTTCCTCGTCGTAATGGCGTAAGATTCCCATCTGACAGAAGATGTCACGTGGTTCCCTCTCTCCATCTTCACTCTCGTCGTCCCTGGCATCGTCTCCTTCTAGTCCCTTTGTAGTGACCATGTCGGCGACCAGAGTATTGTTATTCATTAAGGATTGCTAGCTCGTTGACTCTGAAATAAAATTAAAACGTTTTATTAAAAACTGAGCATGTGTTTCCTTTCACTTTTTTTTTAAACATTAATTTTCTCATCAATCCAGTTCAAGGTCTCCCAGATGAGTCATCCACGCTATTATTATTAAATTACTTAGCTATACAGAACGAAGCAAACTATTCATTTGATTCTATTGTGTTTATGCTGATTTGATCATAATGCGCGTGCACGTTTCACCCTTTTTGACAATAAAAGAAGTAACATTTTAAGTACATTTCAGTTCCATTTTAAACATTGAAACAACATACATAATATGTAAACACGATCAACTCTGCATTCTTTTCATCACTTACGTGAGAAAAAACAAACGTTATTACTAAAATAAAACCCATTGTTTAAACGAAATAACACCACATTATTTTTTATCATATATTGATCACTGTACAACACTGAAAAAATACCTGATAAAAAAAAATAAAAAAAATAAAAATCGAGTTAACGGACAAAACTTAATAAAACTTACTTAATTTAACTGTATGGTATATCCCAAACATGTGTTTCACGAATAGGAAACACACCAACCAAGCATAAGGAATACCTCAATCGTCCACGATTTACACACACCTATAGAACTATCTACACGAGATTGTGTATATATACCTTATTAAGAACTGTAAGTGAACATTATACGGAGAAAAGTATGTAACATGCAGGAAGTAGAATACATTAGAGCACGAGCACCTTGTCGCGCGCGCTGAGAGGATTGGTATCTACCTGTCGCATTCACAACCGGAAGTGGCTAAATAAGTTTTTTGTTTGTTCTTGTTAATGTCAGCTAGACCGAATATATAGAATCAGACGAGACGACTGCGTGATTTATATATGTGTTTACATTACCACTAGAGTACAATAGGTATAGATATATTGTAATTACCGGCGTTAATTGACGGAAATGTTAAGGTAGTGTCGACATGTTCCGGTACCAGATATACCAATGAAATGGTGACAAAAACATGTTATAGGTCAGTGTAGTATCTATATATCGGATGTTTATAAACAAGTATTTATGTCATATCGTTCTCTACAAATGAATGTCATTGATGAAAATGTACGTCTACCAATAATGCCCACATGATTTTAGAACAGATGATATGGAAATTTGCAAGATGACTAGCGAATATCCAAACAATATATATCCTTGTTAGCTTCATAATTTGAGAGAGTGTATGACGGCTAGCAGTAGCTGGCTCTGAAGTTTATATCAATGGAGATGTAACGTCTTCTTTATTGACAAGGACTATATTTTCTCAAAAGCATCCGGTACTTAATACAGAACCAAGACTTGTACTTTTAAGATGATAATTTTGTAAAATTAAGTTTTATTGTGCCATATCCTTTGATAGCGGAGCACTTGTTTACCTTAAGCTTGTATTTGAACTAGCTGCTCCTGCTTTATAGCTAAGCGCCTATGTCACTTTGATTATACATGTATCTGCGCATGCGTAAGAAAATGTTGGTTGATGGGGCTGCTATATATATTTTGTGCTGCTGATTTTTTTGCTGAAACCCACCCACCGTCCCTAGGCCTCCCAGTAGTATTACTGAGGGTTGTGCTCAAGTTTTTCGCAAATTGTATCCTGATTGTTTTATTTATCTAGTCTAATGTATAAACCTGACTCATGCTGGAGTCTATATTGTCATACATATGTACATTTTCGAGGGGGAGGGGATTGTTTTTGTATGTGTAAAACTTTCGATAGATCTTAGGATAAGCATCCTGAGGTGAATACATTTGCCAGTATTTGATTGCTTGTTTCTGTTTTATTTATGAACATTTACACGTTACATATCGGTACATAGTATGTTTTTGTTTTACGTTGTAAAAACGGCTGTTATTAGTCGGATTTATTTTATGTTTTCCAGAAACGAAATAATGGTGTATCGTCTTCTGCCTGCAACTCTGTGCGGAGATACATAACTGTTGGCTTTGCTAATGACATATTCGTTTATTAAGCTCGTATGGTGAATAGAAGTGACATTGTTGAGCTGTATTCGCCATACCTTACAAGACCCATCGCTTATCTTTCATGAATATAAATAGGAAATAAAATATAACAAACACCCGGAAAGATAATAAAAAAGGGTTTTACAGCCAAATCCATGCTATACAATTTTAATGTCTTCGATTTGTGCTTGGGAGGTTTGCATTCACTGGGTCGTAGGGGGGTGGCGCAGTAGAAAGCGCACTTGCATTTCACCAAGGCGGCCGGGGTTCGATTCCCCGATCGGAAGTTGAAAAGATATTGGGTCACCTGCCTGACCACGTGGGGGTTTTCTGGGTATTTCGGATTCTTCCCGCATTGAGACCCCCCGCGCTCTAACATCCAGTCCAACAAGAGTGATTGAAATAATATTTCATAATGATTGTAGAATAGATAAAGTTTATATTCACTTTTGAATTAGATTCACCTATTTATACAGCTATCATCAGTATTAATTGAAAAAAAAAGGTTTCTTAAAATTGAAACCTCATTCAATCAGTGGCAGTGTCTATTAGCCGATCTGTGTTGAATACCGCTCATGGCACAGGCTAACGTCACGCTACCACAATCGGTACAATTTTGACAGTTTTTTAGTGATCTTTAAAAATTCAGATCTTGTATCTGGAATGTTTCTTGATTCTTTACAAAGACTACCTATGGTGGTTCATTTTCAGTATTTTTTTTTATTTCTAAGTATTTTTTTTTTGAAAATAGAACGCTAAACTCGAAGTGAGATTTCGTCCGTTTTTCGGCCGTAATTAGTGACCAAATTGGTACACCATATCACAGGCTATGGAACGTTATTATTTCTACTAGTTATGTGCCGATTACAACAAAATATATTGCTTTTATAAACACCATATTGAACTATAATTGTATATACTCACTTTTATATTATCCTGTTATAAGGACAAGAAATCAACATTTAAACATGATTATATTTAACCCCTTGAAAATCCTCCAAAATTTCGTCGACGTATGTCGTTTTTACTGGTTTCCTTATATGTTTACTTTGAAGTCATCGTGTACTCTTAAAAGATTCCTGAAAACAAAACTATTCTGCAGAAATGCTGATAAATATCTTTTTTTTTATACTGTCAAAGGAAACTGCTCAAATTTAATTTGAAAGTACTATTCGAACACTTTTCTGACCGTGTACCAATTGTGGTAGCATGACGTTAGCATTAAGAGAGATTATGTGTTGCCGAGTAGAAGCAAATATCGCTTTTTACATTAAAATGTTTCAAAGTTAAGAAAAACGTTGCATTCAAAATGACCAACCTTTGGCAAAACACTTACTGTTCTAAATAGTAAAGGAATTTCTATTTGAGAACGAAAACAAATCGCCCGTCAGTTAATCGTGCTCTTCTTAATCGTATAAATACCGAACACACCTTTGAACTTTCAACTCCACAAATGTCTTTACAATACGTGCATGTATCACGAACAAAATATCTGTGGTAATATCGTGCTTTGATCGCATGTGTTGTCACGTATTTGTGAGTGCCTGAAGGTCTGGTTCTACTAGTTCCCAAGTCACGTTTCGACAGGTCTGAAAGCGAGACGTTTCCAGATGACCATGTTTCCGAAAGACATTACTTGTTATTGTCACCTTCGATACGGTGGAGCAGGTGTTGTTGATGGCATGTTTTTTAAAATATACGCCTACGCTAGAATCATGACAGTTTACTGATATGAACCATCCAGCTTAAGGCGCAATACATAATCCTCATACAGCGATTTTTTTTTATTCAAGAAACCGTTTCGACTTGAGGTAAATAAAAACGCTTTCAGTGACCGAACAATAACAACATGGAACAGTCTACCGGAAGTGGTTGCCACAGCAATGAACCTTAACAGCTTCAAAACACTACCGAACAACCATACCATTTCCAACAGGTCCAACTTACCGGCCTCTTTTTACAATTAACACCAAGGGCATCACGTTTATTCTTAAAGTATCTGTTCTTTTGTTGCACGTTAGGGAACAAATATTTAGTAAAGCAAACGTCTTTTTTAGTCCCTGGTCGTAATCTACGATCAATTCGTTTCAACCAGTTTTACTGCCAGAGAAGTAGAATAAACGTTAGACAGTATAGTATTTTAAACAGGATTCAATATAATTTTAACTATCTTGATTTTGCACCAGAGTGTGATATGTATTGTTCTTCTCTCGCCGAGTTCAAAGCACGGTTAAAGAATATTTGCTATCACTAATTCCGTTTGTTTTACTTATGAGTACGTTTTTGTCTGTGTTACATGCATAACTGACTGTGATATTTTTTACGTGTGTTGTACTGTTGTTATCCATTCTGTAAGTGGACCCTTGGGTATGTTGAATTGGAAACAAAGCGACGTGTATTAATATACAATACACGCGTGTGTTCATATATAAAGAGAACTGTTGATCAATTTTATTATATGTGAGAAACATTACTATTTATACCGTCACAACTTATCAGTGTTTCAATATGGACTTTTTATCAATTAATGCGCAACCGGTTGAACATTATTGAACATTCAACGAAATATAATCAAGACATCTTCAAAAGGTAAACAGTTTACAACGATGTTGACTACATCGAAAGATACTGCGAAAGAGAGGTCATTTGAAATAGGAAAGGTTATAGCAATAGTGCACTCTAATATAAAAAAAAATGGGCCCCATCTTAAAACGTGATTAGTTTATTAAACTTTCCCAGAAGTAAATACATTTTCAAAATAAGTTACATGCACATTTTTTACCCAGAAATAACTGAATAAATATACAACATTTGATAAAGCGCCCTATCTAGCTAACATAAGCTACTCTAAACAGCATTGATGGAATTATGAGAGGTTGAACGATGTCCTCACAAATGATTAAGCGAATCACGTTTTGAACAACTGGCCTTGATTGCAAGTTGTTACAAGATACTGAGTGGAGATGGTTATCAATTTAGGCATGCATGGTATGTTAAGATTTTTCTCGTAGATATTACAATGTATCAAACTTGAACACGTTAGTCCTCAGTAGTAGTGGATAGAAGAATATTTAAGAGGAGTTGGGATAGGGTATTGTGCTAAGGAAGACAAAAGCCTCCAAGACTTTAAAGTGACTTAAGTAAAAGTCAGTCTCTAGCACACATACCTTAAACTTTTTTTATGGAGCACAGCATATGAATATTCATTAGAATTAAACGAACTTTGTTAGAGACAAAAGTAAATAAGTTGTGCTTTATTTTCAATAGTCCTCGGGTACGAACATATTTGCAGGCGACAACAAAGTGAATCGATACAAATAATGTTTGACTAATGAATTCTGACAGCTAAATTAAAAGACATTCGGTATCTTGTCTTTGTAAGACCTTAAACCATTATCAATTGACCAAGAAATACATTGATATTAGCCATTTTAATTTGTGCTCATGACAATTGTCACCGAGACTACCGAACGCGTACTTTATTATATAAACTAGCGCTGTAAAATCTACTGTCATGGCGAATCCGCTTAGTTTTACATCTCATTCTGTTCTATTGTACACTCTCATTTCACAACACAAAACTATCGTCATTGACTACCGAACGCGTACTTTATTATATAAACTAGCGCTGTAAAATCTACTGTCATGGCGAATCCGCTTAGTTTTACATCTCATTCTGTTCTATTGTACACTCTCATTTCACAACACAAAACTATCCTCATTTAAGGACGTGCCAGGTTATGGTGGTGGAGGGAAAGCCGGAGTTACCGGAGAAAAACCCATCGACCTACGGCTAGTAACTGGCGACTGTCCCACGTAGGCCTCGAACCCGCGACCAAGTGGTGGAGAACTAGTAAAAGCAGAATGTCAGACGCCTTAACCACTTTGCCTTTCATACGTGAAGATCAGCGAATGATCTCCAGTGCACGTAAAATGTGTTACTTAAAACGATCGACCTCGGTTCTGTTTTTTTGATATATCGCACGTTTCCTACCTTAGACCGGAGCAAACCTATCCGTTATATCTTTTTTTTTGTCATACATTAAATGTTTCGTACGATACAAATTGTAGCATACGAGCACAAACTTTAAACAGATGTGTCTACCTTTTCGTTTGCTGTAACACAAGGATGATCGAGAGGAGTAATGACGTCACTTTTACGACCTCAGATTTACTCGGATACTATAGAGAACCTAGTAACAAAACATAAATCGCTTTTTTTTTCCGGCTTCTTAAATCGATGAATCATCAGGACCACAACGGAAACAATGAGTAAACTGTCGGTATCCGGATGACGGTAAATTTGCTATACGGGAAAAAACCCTCTCGGAATCGATCTACTAAGTATCACTAGAGACATCACGTGATATTGGTTTTATAGTGCCATTTGTTCCTACGCTTTATACCCATGTGTATGTATGTTGTGTACATTTCGCAGTTTAGTAGATCTTTAAACTACGATTCTTCCATTGAAATATAATCATATATGAACTATGTGTAGCTCTTATTTACGTGCAATATAGACATGTATGACATAAGAAACTATATAAGAAGTATGACAGTATAACTCCTCTCACATTCATTTAGCCTTTCATTTAGCAAAATATTTTTTTTTTGTGTCATGTTAGGGCAAAATTCAAAGGTGACAACAGTGTCTTTATAAATATATTTCCACTTGTTACTTTTCTTTCCTGTTATGTTAATTTTTTATCAGTAAATCAAAATCCAATTAGTTAAAGTGTTAAAAGAGAAAAAATAGTTTATATGTTATATTTTTTCACACCAGACTGTGTATTTTACAGTATCAAGAGAAAAACAAAATGAAAAGAATAATCACAAGAGTGACACGTAGTGAATCAGATTTTGTATTACCTGACAAGATTAATGCAAATGTACAAGAAGGAAAATGTGAAACACATTAAAAAGTGTTTTTTATAACTTGTGGAACGTTAGGTGTGCACGCTGATTACACATGGGCTACAGTAAAACGCCTGAAACAGGAGCCAGACCCAAAAGGTCAACTTTGTACACCTTACACCTCATTAATATTCATGAGCCACTTCAGTAATGATAACAATTCATTTGGGAGATCACGGCAACGTCAAAGGTTTACGCAGTGGGTGTCTTAGTTTATAATTTATATTAATTTAATGTTAATTTCGAGTGTAACATCACCAGGGATAGGACATGTGCGTTCCTATCAGTGCACGTAAGCACACAATAAAACACACACTGCCTTTATACATGAGTGTTATGTTATGTGTGTTCGTATTGGTTCCTTTTGACAAACTATCTTATAACAATATTCTACAAAGTGAGCATAAAATGTATAGATATTGGTAAGCAAACAACACGACATGTGGTTTTTAATTTGGTCATATTGCTAATTGACCCCCACATGTCGTTAGCTACTGGGAGGAAAATAATGTGTAACATAATCTGTTTCTTTTATGTATCCACACAAAAATACATTGCATTGATGTAATAAATGTATGGACATAAATAAGTAAAAAGTTTAAGCATCTGTAATGTCAAGACACTTATGTTTATTTTACCGGCTTTGGACTAGACCACGGTGGCGAGGATTAATTCTCTGATATACCGTTTAAGACTGACCACTCTGCTGACCTGGGGGCTTGGTTGTCAAGCCTGTGGTTTCACCGCATCCTGCTTTATTCATGAACTTCGTGAACATTTTCGTTATTCTATTTTATCAATTTAACACGCGAAAATAACAAGCACTGCTTTTGGGTTTTTTCTCATTATTCCAGTGTTTGTTGATGTGTTTATATATCTTGAATGTATTTGCGAAATAAATTATAAAGGTAAACATTGTAACAAATTGTTAACAAATGCATTATCCTAAGAAGTGTGTGGTGAGATCAACACGTATTGACGCTGAAATATCTGCCTTTACTGTACAAAAAATATTGACTGGAAATCATTCCCATGACCCCTGGCTCACTGTCAGAATTAACAAGCCACACATGGAAACATTGCGTTGGTCTGCCTAACTCCGATGCAATATGCGTGCAAACATAATTGTAAAGGTTTATTTTCTTTGTTCTACAAGACCCAACTACCTTCACTGTATAGATATTTGTCTTTGGACTGTAAAAAAAACCATAATATTTTTTCGTTGTCGTACAGCATCACCCGACAGCAAAATTGTTTACTTTTTTTTACATAAAAGTAAAATCACATACATTTCTAACTTCATTTCACATTGGCAAATATATTGTTTTATGTATCTAAAACTAAAGTTATTTCTTATTGTCTTTACTTTCTTATAATACGAAAAACCTTTAAATTGACTCGCACTGTACAAGGAACATGTGATAGTTTGTTTTAATTGATTAATATATTACGCATTATAGCTGTACTTAACAAAATTATGATATGGTCTATATATTTGTACATGAAGATGATTGATCCCCCTGTTATGTAACTATGTGATTTTATACTGTGTAACTATATACTTGTACGATGTAATTGTGATATATGACACTATAATAAACAAAACTGACTAGACTTGACTTGACTCGTAAAACAAATGAATATATGATTTGAACTAAAAAAATTGAAGTACATTATATGAAAAAATGAATAAACAAAATAGAACAATAGGCACCAGTATAACTGAAACAGAAACCCATGTCCAAGAGATCGAGCGAAATAGATACTTACCTAGTGACGTTTTCCAGATTTACACCTTAATCCTTGTATCTCACTGCCACAACAGTTTACAGAATCATAAACTCATTGACTCTACTTTATATAAGTTACCTTTACATACATCACATGACTGCAGCATTTCTGGAATACAGTTCACAAAAAAAACAACCAATCACACTTGTCGATATGACGTCATCACTTGTCTCCAGAACTGCCTTGTCTTTTCTAGCTGCTGCGGTTTTTGATGTTACCGCGTTTACAGGTAAGTTTCAGGTAGTACATCTATCGGCGTGTTTACCTGTGCTGCCTCAGGTAAAACATCCAGGACAGGTAAAGTGCTCCTCTTGTATCTGTTTATTAACTCTGACACCTTCAATCATGACCACTATATGCATCCATCTATGTTTACCCGAGATCACATGATGATATTTGTTACCTTGATCCACGATTTATTGCATTTTTTGCATTTTATTCGCAATAATAGATTATGTTTTGTTCACACACACACAAAAAATAGTATTCATTTTGTATACAAACGCCACATTAGTAAAGAGAGCATGATACATATATGTTACAATAGCAAAAACCTGTAAGCATAAAATCATCATAAGTAGCATGTGTATGCTACCTAATTGCGATGATTAAACTATCGCTAGAGACCTATTACTCCCATCAAAACTAAATTAGACATCCCCCCCCCTGTTGTGTTGAACATTGCTTACTCTCAAGGTTGTGTTCAAGGATATTAGTAGACATATATGATTGGTTGAAAAGTAAGGATTTTTAAAGAATGGAAATATTAATCCATTCTTATAAATTTTGACTCAGAAAAAACGTAGAAAAAGCAACGTCCAATAGGTAATCTAGAAATGAACATCTGATTTGGCAGACAACCCAAAGTTTTTGGTACTCTCTGTAAATATCCCCTTCCCCCAATACCCCCACCCCCACCTCTTTTTTAGAAGGGGGCTAAACGAAGAAATTTGTTACCGTGAGTTATCGATGAAACCACTTTTATAATAAAAAAACATCTTAAAAACCCAATGAGGGTTCTGCTCTTTTTATTAATTTTATATACTGTATATGTGCATAAAAGATAAGTTTATGGAAAGCGTAACCCTTGGATTTCAAAGATGTGGAAACGTGGGACTCCACTGATTAACGAGATAGATCATTCGACATACATAACGGTCAACATAAGGGTAATAGCCCGTGTTTGCATGTCAAAAGTGACAATAGCTATTATCTAAATAGACACGTCTGTTCATAGTTCGTTTGGAAGCACACTGTATTGTAAACACCGCCATATTTCTGTATCGACACATTTCGTCTGGATGGCTCAAGAGTGAATGTTCATTTTGTACTTTTATTACCTATTACGTAATTACGTAATTTATCTTATATTTGTCAAAATCAGGTTGCACCAATAATTACTTAATGATTTCTCTGATAAAGAGTGAATTGTTCATTTTGTACTTTTATTACCTATTACGTAATTTATCTTATATTTGTCAAAATCAGGTTGCACCAATAATTACTTAATGATTTCTCTGATAAAGAGTGAATTGTTCATTTTGTACTTTTATTACCTATTACGTAATTTATCTTATATTTGTCAAAATCAGGTTGCACCAATAATTACTTAATGATTTCTCTGATAAAGAGTGAATTGTTCATTTTGTACTTTTATTACCTATTACGTAATTTATCTTATATTTGTCAAAATCAGGTTGCACCAATAATTACTTAATGATTTCTCTGATAAACAAATATTATTTTATGTATTTTTAAGGAATTTTATTATTCATATAACCAGAAGGGCAGAAGGGGGACGTTTAATAAAAAAAAATCGTTGTGTATTATGGTTAATACGAAAGAGTCAACTATTTTGCTGAGCTCAAACCGGTATTGATGATTGTGCTATTTATTTTTCTTAATGAAATAAACTTTTTAGCATGTATCACCCTTATGAAACTAACATGTCATAACATATGTATGTCATTGCTATTAAAACATACACAATCCCAAGTATATCAATGTCTTTATCGTAAATACACAAACGCTATTCGCAAACACCATTCACAAACAAAAACAGGCAATGCTACTAATGTAATAATTGTTCTACAGAAGATCGTGATAATACATGATATGTTCCGTCGCCAGTGGGAATGTGGTGAGGCGTGGTAATGCACAATGTGAGTTTCGGACGTAGTTAGTGGGACAGGGAACAGACATATATACACAACTACGTTTGTTTCTGGTTCAGGTCGGAGTAGTTATTAGTAATTATTTTAGGCTGTTTGTAACCCCGGGCATCGTCTTGGAAAGTGTTGTTAGATAAACGACCGCCTATGGATTAATCATAACATTCGGAAATTAATCACAAAATGCTAGTAACTTCACAAGAAAGAGACACGAAATGACCAGCTGACTGATTATTTTTTTTAAAAATATAAAAATATATGATCGGTTTAGAGCAAAACATGCAAAAAAAAAAGAAATTTAAAATTTAAAAAACCGGAAAATAAAAAAAAAACTGGCTAACCACTGTAATTGTGCCTGACTATAGCTTCAAGGATGTGCCTAATCCTGGTTCACAACAAAAATACCGCGATATCGGATTCCTAGAAAATACAATTCTCATTTAAAAAATTATCGGAGAAATCTTCATGTATTAGACGATTTATTATACAAAGTAGAATAATAATAGCTAGAATCTTATACGAAACAAGGAAGCACTTATTCAAATATTTAGTAAGTCGCTGTACGGAGCCAAAAACGTGAACATTTTCTGTACAAAATAGACGTTTTATTAAACAAAAGAAATTCCGTGACTTAAACATGCTTTAACACATATAGAAACAGCAAAAAAAGGGAACGATGCCTAATTAATCCATTATTACGTTACAATATGACAACTGCTGGCTGTAATAATGCAGTATTGATTAAATGGGTATTTTAAGTGTTCCTGTGCTCAACAAAATTCCAGCTCACGGCCTACATTGGGAATTATTGAAGCTTTTATGAAACTAACAGATAATTCAAAATTAATGTTTACGCATCAGGAATTATCTGATTTAGTACTGCCATTTGCATGCCTCCCAGGGAATTCAGGATGGCAGGGTTGTAAACAATGTACATATTATCTACCAACAGTTTTGGCATCAACATTAACCAGTCATTTACCTTCCCTGCAGACTTGTACCAATATTTTAAACATCTTATGTAGATTTCACATTAAGATCGTTTTTTGTTCACAAATCAACCTCATTTACGACAGGTTTAGTTTACCCTGTATAGAAACCGCTTAAAATATTAGATCTTGCTCTGGATCTGCATTAGGTCAGTGAAAAAAATACTCCAAAAATCATGAAAACAATGATTGTGTATATTTTTGAATTCTGTTAAATGACGCTGGCATGGTCACAGTGTTAAACTGGTTCATCGGTCGATATCTATAGATAGTGATGGTATACAGCTTGGTCTATTTCAGAAGTTGTTACAATGAATTTCTCACCGAGTCATTATCTGGATCTCACTTTCCAAAATATGAGTGACATAACGCTGTTTGTATTGTTAAAGAGCAGGTTTGTATTATTACTGTGTAGAATAAATAAGGTGTTTAACAATTAGTTTACACTCAATACTCGGCTGACTACATGATAATCCAGAATACACAGGATGGTGTTACCGCACTCTTTAAAATAGATTCGACGTACATATTATGTATGTTTTGACGAAATCGTCATTGTCATACTTTAAAAGTTAACCCCCTTGATAACGTGTTTTTATTTTTATTACCGCGGTGCTGTTGTCTGACAAAAAACATTATGTTCGCTCATATAGAAAGGGCAATTAACTTTATTTATGTTTTCGAGGAATTAAAGGATTGCGAAAACACGGTTTCAAAACAAACCTGTTAACATCTCTGCTATTACATTGTCGACTTGTTCAAAACAATTTTATGGCAATAGCGTAGATGCTGAACATTCAACTCTACATTAAAACTGACCAAAGATATGTTACACAACACAAACACAGATATGAAAACATGTTTATATTGTCGATTGAATTGCTTCGTGATGTAATGCTTGTTTGCATTGATTCTGCTCTGACGAGTCAAAACAGTTGTTTTGCAGTAAGGTTAAAATTTGGAATATGCCTGAAAACTACAGGATGCGTGTTTACCCGTGTAAAACTGTAAACGTATGCAGAAGAAAGTTTTGCTCTTATATCCGGACACGAATAATTTTGCGGTGACCGTGACCCCGCATCCTGTTTTGGCAACTAAGTGACGTAACATGTTAACCTTACAGCTGACAACAATTGTTAGGATTCCCTGTAGTGAACGCATAATTAATTATGATCAGTGGTGCTGTCGTGTTCAAATTGCATCATAACACGCCGTGGTTTACCGTCGTACACACGAGTCCAGGTAACACATGGTACAGTATAGCAATCGTTAACATAATGAAGACATGAACATAAGATTTAAATTTGTCAGATCATCTCATTTATTACAGATAAACAAATTCAACAAAAAGTGGGATGAATGGTGACCTACTGTGAATGAATGATACAGCCGATTTCAATTTTTTACATAAATAAGAGCATGCCCGAATATAGGCACTGACCCCTAACGAACGAGTTAACGTTGGATGCAAATCACTAAGAACGATGCTTATTTAAGACGACGAGGCGAACATCTAACATCACTCCCAATGCTGCTGTTAGATTTTACATATTTACTCTGATGTACCATATGGAGATATCATCTACCTCATAACGAAGTATGTTTAACATAAACGTTACAACAGAACAGTAGAAACTCATTTAGAATCTTAGGTGACTGATTGTATTCATATTTTTTTCTACTGTAATTGTTTTATATTAGTTATCAGGGAATAGATGAATGTAATTTTTCAATTGACAAAAATGCTGAAATAATAGAATTGCATTTATTCAAAGCATTCATTATGTGTTCATGTAAAAGTGTCTTTAAAAATAAACCGAACTAACATATTGACATTTGTGTTGATGCCACATGCATTCTTGTATATAACTTAAAAATTGATAAACGTTTTAAACATTTGATTTGGTTTAAGCGCCATGAATTTGATGACACATAACAAACATGTTAATTTGTAATA